CCCCGTTTCTAAAGCTTATGGAAAAACTAATACTTCTTAAACTTGAACCCCCCCTTAAAAACTTTGAAGACCCCAAACAATTTGCCTATAGACAGGGTAGGAGCACTTTAGACGCTGCAGCCGTCTCACACAACAACATCGTCTCATCATTAGATAAAGGTGCCAAATACGTCCGCTGCACGTTTCTCGACTTCACTTCTGCTTTCGACTCTGTACCTAGATGTCTCCTGCTAAATAAGCTCTCTTTGACAAAAACTGAGTCCTGGGTCACTAACTGGCTGCATTCCTACTTCTCTAACAGAAAGCAGTACACCGTATACAAAGGTAAATCATCCTCTGCTGTTCTCACTGAAGCCGGTGTCCCCCAAGGTGCTGTACTCTCCCCACTTCTCTTTTCTTTCTTTCTACATGACTTACCATCTTCAAATGACATTAATTTTGTCAAATATGCTGACGACCTGACTGTATCTTTGCCTGTCAAATGTCAAAGCGACTGCTCTAAACTTAATGGCTTTCTGTCAGAAATCAGCCAGTGGTCCAAGGAAAACGGTCTTACCCTAAACCCCTCCAAATGCCAAACAGTCAATTTCACCTTTAGGCATAAATCCGACCTAAACAAACTGGTTGGCTCTCACGAGGTATGCAACATAGACGGCACTGAAATAGAAACCAAATCGGAAATTAAATACCTAGGCGTCATTCTATCTGCTGATCTCTCCTGGTCGTCTCATATCTTAGCGATTTCTAAGAAAATATTCCGTCTTACCTTCTACATCAAGAAGTTAAAACATTCTGGTATAACCCAACCCTTACTCCTACAATTCGTTAATTCTCGCATTCTGCCTATTATTCTCTATTGTTCCCCCTTAGTTTTTCCAGGGCTACTGAAGAAAGACTATAACATATTACGCAGGATGTTAAAGGTTGTCAGCAGGGTAAGCAACGTGCCACTTAACCAGCTTGTTAATATTCTGGTCGACAGGCACATGGACTCATGTGAAAAATGGGCCAAATCCATTTTATCTAACTCACACCACCCTCTTCACTCACAACTCTCCCCTTGCATCTCATCAGGTAAAACCAGAAGCCTATATAGAAAACTATATGCTCGCACCAGCAAGTACAAAAACTCAACCATACCCTACTTAGCTCGTGTTCTGTGTGATAAAGAAAGCATTAGGCGTGATACCTATAATTCATTAAATAGTCAGTAGTACAACTGGATCTCGTCTTTCCAACTCATATCATTTATAGGTACAACATTTTCTTTCTTTCTTTTCCTTTTCTCTCTCTCTCTCTTTTTCCGTTATGTGCTGCTTTGTTTCTTTCTCTCGCTTACGCCAGTAAATATGACAGCTCCTACTTTTCTAACACCTTCAAACACTGTTCAGCTTTACCTTTGCTACCGACATGCCAATGTGTTGTTGTAATAATGAACTGAGATTTCCTTAATCTATGTAGAATTCTATTTATTGATAATGTACTAACTGGATGCAATACTGTAGTAAAAATGCTGAGAATTCCATTCTGTATCACATGTACTGTTTTGGAATAAAGCAAATTATTATTATTATTATTATTATTTCCACGAGCTGTGAGCACAAGGAAGTGTGAAGCCAGAGTAAATGTAGACTGACTAGGCGTCTCTGTATTGACGATTAGCAATAGTTTGGCTGTTGCTGACCACTTCACTTACTAGAGTACTCAACCAGAGGGTCACGAATTCAAAGTGTCTTTCATCAGATTGTATCATTACTTCTCACACAATCGGTGCTGCTAGCCATCAGGCGTGTGAACGTTAACAACTATTCCAGTAACCCTTCATCTCCATCTCCATCTGCATACATCAACAACTAGGCTCGCTTCTCCTCGATTCATTCTTCTTTAGCTTCCTCCAATAAGGCGTCGTATCATCATCCACCCTACTCTGTCCATATCACAATAGGATTTTTCTTCTTTCTTCGCAGACTATACACCACATAATCGAGTCTGACTACCGTGCCTCAAGTGTAGTCTGTCAGTCTAGCTAATAGTCATCACACACACACACACACACACACCACTAGTAATATCTCCCATTGGCTTCACTGACACTCCTCGGGGTCTAGTGTTTGATATGCATCAGCAGAACTTGATCACTTGCCTGTCTATCCCGATGACACTCACAGCTAATGAAGAACAATCTGTATGAAGGGTTATCAACTCAGTCTGTATAAGAAACTCAACTGGCCGAATCCATAACTAAGCTTTCACTAATATCTCAATCTGTCGTCGTACACAAACGACAATCGTGTGGTGGTTAAAGTGACTCCTCGAATTCCAGTGTGTCGCCACTCTAATTGGTTATCACTCACTACTCGTACACTATTACGAGTACCGACGCACCCACTCAAACATACAAGCCTTCAACAAATTCTGACTATTCGTTTTTAGAAGTAAATACAGCCATATGAATCAGTCATTTCCACTTGAATCTAAATGTCAAAGCACAAATCAAATGAGACGTTTATCAGCGTTAATTGCTCACTGAGTGGAAGTGATTCAAATTGGCTGTATCAGATGCTACTGAAGATATAAAATTTATGTGAAATATGCCTACAAATGAAACACTCGTTCCAAAGGCGTGTGAAGAATGTCATCCATGGTTAAATCGGTTGGGAAGAATTACGTCCCTAATGCACTGACTGCAGACGAAATCTCAGCACAAATACAAAAGACTCGTGTGGGATTTGCCAGCCACTTGCGTCATCTCTGGCGTAGACGCGACATACGGCTGTGGATCAGAGGACGTGTGTACTGTATAGCATTTCACTCCTTCATTCGTTATGCTTTCCTGGCTGGCTGGCACCATGTATGTATGCATGTATGCATGCATGCCGGCCTGCCTGCACTGCACTGCACTCCTATGAGTCGTGGCCAATGAAAGTGGAAGAATTGAAGAGGCCGACGGTCGTCGTTTCACCATAGGTGTTCACACTCCATCTCCCGTCTTAAGTGGTATAACATCGTGAGTAATACTGAAGTCAGGCGTAGAGTGTTAGGTAAGCAGGGAAAATCAATGGACGCCAAGCCATCGGCTTCCTCGTCGAGTAATCTTAGCTGACATAGGACTAGGCTGGAAAACAGCTAGAAGTGGTCAAATCAAAACCTGGAATCAATCCATGAAGTCCTTGACTGTTGGTTTGAGACACATAGGCGGGTGTAGATCACCTGGCTGGGGTCCTCGACACGTGAAGAACAAATGGCTGCAGACTGTTCCCAGTGACATGGCTCAAAATCGTTGTCAATCACTCAGACACATTCACTCTTTGTCCACTTCTAGATCCATCAAATTTCCACTATTCTCCACATACTCATCCTTACTCCTGTACATTTCCGTTCACTATACTTCCTTTGAATTCTACTCATTCTTTCGTCACCTTTGTGTGCTAGGTGGAGTGTGGCAACTTGAACTGCTGCACTCTTCTGCAGAGTTCTACGTTGAAAACTCAGTCTCAGGCAGAACAGTTACGTGTCGATGATATACTATGCCTCAATATGCAAGGAAATCAAAATCAAACAGTCACTATCATAGAATTAGTTTGTTTATCAGATATAATATCACACAGTGAAACAGTATTATTCACTGGATCACGTTGAGAACAAAATTTATTGTTCATAATCATGTCAACAAACTAATATGGAATTACTTACTACCACAGTGCCCAAGTTCTACACACATATTAATATCGTAGAATATTATGAGACAGGAGAATAGAAAAGAAAGCGAAGGAAAGTGAAAGCATGGTATGAATGACGTGTGAATGCATCTAAGCCATAACGTTGAACTGTGACCACACACTGGTAATTGTATGATTCCGGCTGTAGATAATTGAGGAGATACTGAATAAACGCGGCTTTCGGGAAAGTTGGGTTAGTGATATATGTATTTTCGCGCTTAGTTTAGTGTTGCTATGTGGTGAAGCGTTCATATAGTTATGTAGGCAGAAATATCATCTACGTAGAATATGTCGTGAGTTTCGTTAAATACCCACCTAGGGAAACTTTTATTCCATTAAGAAACATTAGCTAAGTAGTTCCACATGAATGATTAAAATATACAAACGAAACACCGCAACTAATGGGAGTATTTTTCGAAGTCCAGAAAGCTGCGGAGTCATCTCAGTCCCCACTCAACACATAATGGACCAGAGGTAAGAGTTCAAATCACAGGGAGATATATCTCATAACAGCCGTATGTTGAGTTACGAAAACCAAGAATGTGTCATGCAGTAGTCATGAGGTATCCTATCTGTATATAGCAAACACCAAACACATGGTCCAACGGGACCAATCAAGGACAATACAAGACGGTAGGACGCCATTCAATGCCATCAGTGTGCCTGATTTTCTTATTCGAGGTACTTTTTAGCAGTATCACACAAAACACACTGAAAGCTGCAAGAGAAACTGAAGTGAACGCAATTGGAGTTCGAAGTTACCGATATATTTTTAATAACGGAATCATACAACATTACATGTACTTTTAAGGTCAACCTTTTCTAATAATGACAAATAGGAGCTTTTTACTATCTGTATTTCTATTTGCCTACAAGTGTATCAGTTTTAACACATCAGGAAGTCGAATCAGGTGAACCTTGAAGAATGAACGTGAACAGCAAACAATTTCATACGCGGCATTGTCAACGGATAGGGGGATTAACAAGAACTTACTTTAACAACATGAATTCATATAATGAGTCAGGATAAGTCGAAGAGACCACCTGACATGTCGGTGGGGGTAAACGTTGTACGCACTATGACTACACATACACATGCTGCTTATCACATACCGCATATGTTTAACACTTGTCTCTTCATATAAAGCCTTAAAGCCATGGATACAAAGACATTAGCATCCTCAACATGATGGAGATCGCAAACCCACAAGACACTTGTCCTTTTGTTTTTCTCGGTAACTCAGAACACAAGTGGCCCATCAGAATAATGAGAAGAAAAACTCTACCTCACAGTCATTTATTAGGAGATTAGTCGAACAAACTAAATCCTAAATCATCTTCACTTTCTTCAGAGGATTGGGCTGCAGGAGCAGCTTTTTCTTCAACCTTCGCTGCTACAGTTGGGGCAGCGGCAGCGACAGGTGCAGCAGCGGCAGCAAACTTCGTAGGGTCTGCAATATATTCTTTGATCTGAAAGAAGAAAAATAATGTTGAGTTAGTTGGTTGCAGGACCTTGTAAAATTCTTGCACAATTTCTTCGAAAGTTAACCTTAATGTTGGATGACTTTCTACCCGAGAAGTCTAACAATTGCAGGTCTCGCAAGATTCCTACAAATGTCTTACGTTACGACTGTTTGGCAGACAAAAAAAATCTTTCATTTCAAACGACAGCAAACGCACGCACTCTACTACGAAGTCATCATATTAAAAATCTCAGGGAAAAATACTTTCAAGACATGAAAAACGATTGATAAAGCCGAGTTCACTGGATTAAGTTTTCATCTATCAAGTATTAGGTCATACTCACGAGAGGCTTAGTAGTTCGACACGGGTGCTAAGTGGGGTTCGTAGGACAGATTTCGAATTAATGACTTGTTGAGTAGTAAATGAAAACCACGTCCTTATTCCAAAACATGTTAGTTGCGATTCAATTTACATGAAACAAGATCAGGCATCAGATAAACTAAACACGTCTCACGTGTAAAGAATGTCAAATAGCTAACAAATCGCAAAACATGTCAATCGCACTTACTTGTTCGGCTTCTTTGAACGTATAATCCGTCATAACAGCCACGGCCAACATATTCTTGAAGGCATTTGCAAGCACATGAGGAATACTAGCCAAGGTTGTGTAGCCTAGAGCCAAACTCAAGCACGCTATGTTTTGAACACCAGCGATAATCTTTTCTGTGATCATCTCAGGAGTGATGTCTAGAACCGCAGGATCATACACACATCCTTGATCAAATACCTCCAAAAATAAAGAACATAATGGAGTGTTACCTGTTTAATCACCAGTCCATAAGTGAATGGATGAATCTTCAGCATTCCCAACAGAGTAGCCTCACTCATACCAACTTTTGTATCCTTGTGCACCAGGTGTACATCGTTGAGTATTTCGATAGCTCCTCTTGCGATCTTCGTCGGAATACTGAGAGCCTGAAAGAATGCTGTCTTTTCAGGTCCCAAGCCGGTGTTTTGAGCAGGTACAATGACATCACATGGAGCGATTGCTCCAGCTTTAGCTGGGGCCTCAACGCGATTATTCTCTATCTTTTCTCGAATTTCACACAAGTCCCCATTAGTGAAGACGAATCCAACGTTCTCACGTATGTGTGGTAACAATTTATCCAAAGTGCTATTACGTTCGATTTGATTTTGAATAACTTTCCTCATTAATGTATTTTTGCCAAGGACTACCTCTGCGCTTCCACGTAATGATAATCTAATTTGCTGCATCTGCTTTGATCGCACATTGTCAACATTGACGATAAAGCACTTGTCAAATTCAGACAGATGCTTGCTTAGCTTTTTGAAGTAACCAGCTTTCCACTCCGACCTTGTCTGGCGAACCATTTCCACGCCCAAATCGTGCGAACTGCCGCTAAAATGAACGGACTTAAAGAACTTCTGAATTCAATGGCACAGTCGTCCAATGGATCTTGCAAATGATTTCAGATTTCAGGTTTCAGATTTATTAGTTGAGGATAGAAGGCTTGGAGCCTGTGTTAATCCTTTTCTAGTGAATTTCTGTGCTTTTCCAAACTCTTCTTGAATGAATCAGTTGAGGTTGCAGGCACCACTTCATCTGGGAGTCAGTTCCAAGAGTTTATGGCTCGGTGTGAGGACTAGTTCTCCACAGCACTATGATTCCTTCCTGGCTTTTGATCTCTCGTGCTGTGATCTCTAAGGTGTTCCTGCCTGGTGGGAAGGAAAATAGAGAATAGGTCAGGTTCGTAGTCATTTTAAATTTCAAGCCTTATGATTGAATTTCCTTTCTGCCTACTGTATGAAAGGAAGAAGAGATATAAACTGTCTAGTCTTTCCTCGTATGATAAGTTAGTCATACCGAGAATCATACGTGTTGCCTATAAGAAAGTGACTGGCTGCCTGGATACAGTTTTCTAGTCTTGACCTCACCAGAGATGTATATAAGGAGGTGAACATATCTCTGGTGATTCTAGTAAAGCCTCTGCGAATTGCCCATAAGAATCTGAAACTACGTGCAGCCACTGCACGAGAGTGTGCCGTGGTTTCTAAATCGTGGCTAACTATGACACATAGTGGTTAGGACTCTCACCGACCATGCACATGGTCCTGGGTTCGATCCCCTGCCGACGCACACCCGATATCTATGGTCGGCCTGTAAATTTGGGCTACCGATATCCAAGCTGAAAATTCCATACTTGCATTGAAAATACAGTGTGGCATAAAGCTGTAATGAAAATAAAAAATTAAAAAATAAAAATCCAAGTGAGTTTGAACTGATGGCATTGTTATTCCCTCTAATTCGTAGGAGCTGATTCTTGCTTGCATGATGCGTATGGTTACACATTATGCTACGTTGATCGGGAGCATCCATTCTCTGGGCCACTGTGACAATCAGCTGGGGTCGTTTCTCAACATGAGCGTATCACTTTTGCCCTTCAGCTCTCTCCAAATTTTTGAGTCATCTGCGTATAGGACCATAGGGGAATCAATGAGCCGAGATAACTCATTGATATACGAAACGTTCCAATGTTAACTTCGTAATCATCGAGAGTGCATATTTCTCAAATCTTCACAAGTTTCTTTGAAGCTAATTTGTCCTTATTGATTCATATGCCTTCGTTTTGGTAGAGTTTACGTACACGCCTATTTTTACTCCAGATTTTTTTTCTTTGCAGTCTTCATTAACAGGGGATAAGGAGTCCGTATTATTCTGTTTTGATCTTAGTGTTATATATCTCTGCAGACATCCAACTCTCTGAAACTGTTCGTTGAAAGACGTTATGTCACCTAGTGTAAAAGCGAATTCATGTGCATAACCACACTATGTCATAGTCGAAATTCCATACATATCTAATCTAACAGTTGTTGCAGCACTTTCCCCTGGTGACCTCTCAAAAATATCCTACAGCAGTATAGATTTTTCACTGGTGCAATGCATCAGTCACCATTCAATATGAAATAGGCTGAGGTAATCCCACAGCTTCTCCTAGGGTATGATACTGAGGTGTAGTTAAGACTTCCCATCCTATTCACAACTGTAAAATGATGTATTGCTTTCACTCGCCTATTACTTGCAGCTTGTACCTTGATGAGCACTCATAATTTTTTTCTGTGGCGTCGAACAGCAGTCTCTTCCCACTGTTGAAGGTTGCATGTAACATATTTTGCAAGGGATTTCTTATATGTTATTCCTAATGTTTTTGAAAACACCATGTTGCACCCACAGTTTCCGCAACATGTTGGATGGGGCTAAAATATCACGTAGACAGATTTTAATTTTTGGCTAACAAAACCCTCTTGTCCCTCAACATCAAGTGATTTTACTTCCAAATCAAAATTAAATATGTCAAGTAGGGTCAGTGGTCTATAGGCACCACCGAACTCTTTGTGAAGTTAATCTTCAGATTGCAGCCTTTAGGAATCTTCGTTCGATATGCAGTGTTACGTATAAAATGGTCCAATGCCAATAGCTCGTTGCCATTTTGGAAGTTAGGGGTACCAATGCATCTTTTCAATCTCTGTCGTAGACGTGGTGAATTTCACCACACATTTTTCGTGTTTCTGTTGGATAAGTGAAAATTCTGTCAAACCTCGTTGACTTGTCCCAAACCAAAATAAACGGGTATCTGGAAATCACTCTACTCTTCACAGTGACACTGTCCGCCTGCACTTCTAATGTTACAAGGCTTATGAATAGTATTTTCAGGCCTAAATACTTCTCGAAACCTCCCGAAAGAGACTATAGGTCTCAATTCATTTGATTCTCGTCTTCCTTATGTGTTGTGATTATAAGTATTCAACTACTTTTTAAACTCGTGAATTCTTTGCAGGAATGCAATCTGTTTGGAAGAGTCGGTGACGCCTTATGAATGGAACCATTAGTTTGGAGAGGAAGTACAAGGAGTATGTGACTTCTGCTCCTCAGTGAGGGAAAATACCTGATGTCGAGGAACTATAGAATTCAGCACAGGGACGAAATTATTAATTAGTAAGCAGGTACTTCCAATTACAATAGCCAAAAAGAAATCCGACGCTAGAGATCCAGGTACTAAAGGACGAATTCTCAGGTAACTAAAAGTATATAGAGGTCGCATGAATTCAGAAGGTATGCGCACATATAAACTATTAGCTTTGATACAATTGTATTTGCATAGGAGTGATGTGGTATTCGTTCTTTTCAGCAGCCATGATTAGTAGTACATGAAGTTCGACAGGAATTGTATAACTCCACATTATCTACTGGCCTGACCTTCCATGATCCCAGTTTGGCCGTCCATCTTGCCGGGATAACCATACAATAGCATCATCCTGTGGGCGTCGTGGTGCTTAGCATTTCGTCAGATCTTGTCCACGACACCGATACAGACACCTTAATGTTGTAGGACACTAAACCGACTATTGCCAGAGATGCGCAACACCACTCAAAGCATTCATTCCCCAGTTATAGTTGAATATCTCATTTTTGATCAGTAGGTAACTATCCCAGTGTCCTTACTGCTCCACATGCCCATACACCGGACGACCGATAGTCTACAAGTATGCGTGTTAATGATCACCCAGTGCGGTGCAGGTAGAAGCAGCGTCAGACATCACAACTGTTTCCTAACAAATGTTGTTAGCAGTCAGAAGAACCCATATTTGGATGATTTTTCAAACTGCATTCACTGCAGTTGGCACCAGCTGTCACTAATCGGAAGGAATTTCTGTACACCTTCATTCCGTGCAAGTTTGTCATATTGCCAATGAAACAAAGTCTTACGGGTCTTGATTGGCTTTAGAGTCTTAAATTTACCACTAAATGCTGTACACAATCAAATCCGGACTGCAGCTCCGCTTGATGAAAGAAGTCGAGTGTTTTAAATCTTGGTCCTAATCTTGTCACAGCTTCTTACATACCTCGGGGGAGCAACAACGGGCCAAACATGACACTAATACATAGACCACCTGCATCTGAGTTGTCAATAATTACCGAAATCCTTTTACGAGAGACTACAAAGCATGAAGCAGTAACCGTATAGAAGGATTGATCACCACAGACGTGTAAACGTCATGTATTGTTTCACAGCCAGAACAGAGATATGGAAATGCCACAATTAGCTACGATGGTGAATATCTTTTGATGAAAATACACGGGGTTTATCCCCAAGTATGCTTTAGAAACCAGCTTTTACATGGAAGTAATTACCGAAATTTCCAACCGACAGCCTGTACTGCTGCAGAAAAGTAATCTACGATTTGAAAGTTTACTTTTGAAAGCACGTTGATGAGCGAGCATAGCGTGGAAACCGGACAGTTGTATGACATATCTTTGTGAATTGGCACCACATTTATTCGGTGGGTGTGAGGGCCTTCCGAAAATGGGTCAAATATAACAGCATTATTTCATTATTTGTTTAATTTGTGGACTTAACCGCGCCTTGTCACCTAGCTTGCTAGGTTTGCTAGCCGGGCTTAAACCCGGATAAAGAGGGATGGTTGGGCGTGGAGCTAGCAACCACAAAAGCTATCAAAAACTGCCTGATAAACTTCAACGCACCAAAAATATATTAAAAATACAAAATATTCAAATAACAGTCTTATTTTCCGCTCGAGTCGGAGAGGCGAAATGACACAGCAGGCTGGTGAAAGCCTTCGGGAAGCCAGTCAGCCGACGAAAGCGAGAATAATGATGGGGGTGTGGAATGTCCGTACAATATACCAGGCTGGGAAGGCTGCCTATGTAACCAAAGAAATGAGAGGATATGGCATAGAAGTGCTGTGTATCAACGAGAGCAGGCAGAATGGATACGGATTATCAAAACCGCCAACTGGAGAGTCAATAATCCACTCCAGTCACTCAGACAACGACCATGAGCGCAATGAGGCACTCCATCACTATGTCGATATCACCACTGGCAGCCAAAACCATAATGAAGTGGGAACCCACCTCCACCAGGATAGTGACAGCAAGATTCAACTGCAAAGGAAGGAAGGTCACAATTATCCGATGCTACGCACAGTGCTATGGAAAACGTGGAAATAGAGGCGAAGGAAGATTTCCACAGACAAAATTACAAATGGAGACATTAAAATCCTCATTGGCCTTATGATCGTTGGCCAAACTAGGAGCAGAAAATACCAGGGGAGAATTCGTCACGGGTTGACAGGCTTTCGGCGTAATGAATGATACTCAGATTTAATGATTACAGGTAGAGTGAACAAGCCCGAGGATATAAACAATGAGACATGGATTTCACCTGATAGACACAACAAAATCTAGATGAACTTCATCTCAATCTCAGGGAATTAAAGAATTACCCGGCCGGACACGAAGCCATGAAGAGGAGTGGATGTGGGCTCATACCATCATCTTCTTCAAGAAACCTGCAAAGTGAAGCTGAAGGCCTTCAGTGCAACTAGAAACAGGCCACAATTTAAGTTCAACATTCAGAATT